ACTCAAACCAAAAAATACTGTCCTACCACGTGAATGAGAACTTCTCTCGCTTTTGTAATAATTATTATCTTTGTCATAACCCTCATTTACATAACTCCGACAAAAGAAATATGGTCCTATCACGCGAATGAGAACTTATATCGTCTTTGTGATTATTATTATTGTTGTCATAACCCACCCAAAAACTACTGTCCTATCACGTGAATGAGAGCTTCTCTCGTTTTTTTGATAATTATTAACTTTGTCATATATTTATATCTCCCTCATTTTGAATAACCCCGACAAAAGAAATATGGTCCTATCACGCAAATGACAACTTCTATCGTTTTTGTGATTATTATTATCCTTGTCATAAACTCCAACCAAAAATACTGTCCTATCACATGAATGAGAACTTCTCTCGCATTTGTGATTATTATTATCTTTGTCATATATTTATATCACCCTCATTTACATAAGAAAATAAATAATAACAAAAGAAATATGGTCCTATCACGTGAATGAGGACTTTTATCGTTTTTGTGATTATTATCATTATTGTCATAATATATCACCCTCATTTTCATAATCCCGACAAAAGAAATATGGTCCTATCACGCGAATGACAACTTCTATCGTCTATGTGATTATTATTATTCTTGTCATGAACTCCAACCAAAAACTACTGTCCTATCACAATGAATGAGAACTTCTCTCGCATTTGTGATAATTAGTATCTTTGTCATAAACTCCAACCAAAAACTACTGTCCTATCACGTGAATGAGAACTTCTCTCGCATTTGTGATATTTATTATCTTTGTCATGTATTTATATCACCCTCATTTACATAACCCCGACAAAAGAAATATGGTCCTATCAAGCGAATGAGAACTTCTGTCGTCTTTGTGATTATTATTATTGTTTTCATATATTTATATCATCCTCATTTTCATAATCCCGACAAAAGGAATATGGTCCTATTACGCGAATGACAACTTCTATCGTCTGTGTGATTATAATTATTCTTGTCATAAACTCCAACCAAAAACTACTGTCCTATCACATGAATGAGAACTTCTCTCGCATTTGTGATTATTATTATTATTGTTGATATATATTTATATCACCCTCATTTACATAACCCCGACAAAAGAAATATGATCCTACACGTGAATGAAAACTTATATCGTCTTTGTGATTATTATTTTTTTTGTCATATATTTATATCATCCTCATTTACATAATCCCGACAAAAGGAATATGGTCCTATCACGCGAATGACAACTTCTATCGTCTATGTGATTATTATTATTCTTGTCATAAACTCCAACCAAAATTTACTGTCCTATCACAGTCATGAATGAGAACTTCTCTCGCATTTGTGATAATTAGTATCTTTGTCATAAACTTGAACCAAAAACTACTGTCCTATCACGTGAATGAGAACTTCTCTTGCTTTTGTGATAATTATTATCTTTGTCATAATTATATTACCCTCATTTACATAACCCCGACATAAGTCCTATCACGCGAATGAGAACTTCTATCGTCTTTATGATTATTATTATTCTTGTCATAAACTCCAACCAAAAACTACTGTCCTATTACGTGAATGAGAAGTTCTCTCGTAATTGTGATTACTATTATATTTGTCATATTTATATCATCCTCATCTACATAACCCTAAAAAAAAAAAATATGGTCCTATATCACTCGAATGAGAACTTCTAGAGAGAGAGAGAGACAAAGTTGGAGCGAAAGAAAGAGAGAGAGAGGTGTGTGGATAAAGAAAGAGAGACAGTCATCAGACAGACGGTCACAGACCGACAGAGAGAGAGAGACTAACAAGTGATATGGATATAGAAATATGTAGAAAGGGATAAACGAGGTGATGCGATGAGAGGGAGAGAGAGAGAGAGAGACAGAGAGAGAGACAGATTATATACAATATACATCAAAAGAGAAATAAATAGAGAAAGGGTAGAATGGTATGGGGTACTGAGAAATAAAGAGTGAGGGAAAGAAAATGGGAGAAATAAAGATAGCGAGAGAGAAGAGAGAGACAGAGAGAGAGAAATGAGAGAAGGGATAGAGAGGGATACAAAAGAGAGGGGGGGGGGGGAGATGAGAGGGATATAGAAGCGACAGAGAGAGAGAGAGAGAGAGAGGGTGAGCGAGAATATCAAGTGAGAGTGTTATAACACGGACCTGGTCAATGCAGTTGGTGCATGGTTATGAGACGGAGGCGAAGAATATAATTCAATTATACGGAAAGAGGGAGGTTAGCCCAAACACGTGTAGCAATTACTGACCTCTACCAGAGGTCATTAGGCTAAATAAACAAGCGTACCGTACCCGTAAACTCACAAAGGGATGATCTCAAAATAAGAATGTGCAGTATACACATAATCGACTGTTCGGGAAAACGTCGTCAACCTTATTATTGATTTATCTTCGTTTGTAAGATTAAACGTATCTTCTTTATTTTTAATAAAGAAATGCAAAATAAATAATGTTACGTTCTGTATATAAATGATTACCCAAACTGTCCCCGTACAACGACTTTGGGGAGTATTTTGAGATTATCCCTAAAAAAAATGTGCTCGGAAATTCTTCTGGCCAATCCGGCCCTACACACATAGACTAATACACGTATACACGTAACATGTACTATACGTAGGCCTAATACACATGCACAGGGATCAATGCCAGATCTTTGCAGTTCATCACGGCCAATTGACTTGACCAAAATACAGGCAATATGTGCGTTCGTTCACAGAGCTGGCGAACAACAATATTATCAAAGTCGAGCAATAACAAATGCATTTCAAAGTTGAAAACACAGAAACGATTAAGAGAGGGAAATGGAAAAATGAGTTGAAGAGAACAACACAGGATATTCCGGTCCGCGCAGGAAATTCATAGATTAACGTACGTAAGTACAGTAAAGATGGTGACGGTCCGATCGATCATAAAATTATATATTGCGATTACAGTGTACAGACAAGTATATTTTTCTTCAAATTTAGGAGACAGTATAAAAATCTTACACTAAGGCAACTCGACTTTAAAATAATTATCTTCATGATTATATATATTATTTAAGTCTGGTAATATGATTGGGTATCAAAACATGTTAATTATTACACTTTGACAATAGTGCTATGTATGTGTTATGCTGTTCAGATGACATATAAATTTTCGAACTGAGAGGGAGCTATACCAAATTTACCGGGAGTACCGGTAAATTTTTTTATTTTTTAAAATTTTAATAACTCCAAATCAAAAGCTTTTTAGAGCCCAATTTTTTTAGAGTTGGGTGTTCTAACACTATATTGCACAATAGTAATGCAAATTTTAAATTTCATGATCCAATCCTGATGAAATATTCCCAAAACTTTGTAATACCTTTAAACGGTCGATCATTCCGTTACTAATAGTCATAAAGAGACAAACATGGTATTAAATTGTTTGTAAAAATATGTGGAATTTTATGAAAGAAAAAAAATGGCGATTCTATGTTGTGTAATAGTTTTACGCGCAAAAACGCGCGCGCATGCGCGTGTGCGCGATTTTTTATAAAATGCCTAAAACGTATGCAAAATGATTTTGAGACAATTTTGAGCATTTCAAAATTTTGCGCGCGCATTGACGCGCGGAGGTATGCGCACGCGCGCGTTTTTTGACCTGCAATTGACCGGACGGATATTGGCCTTGATCATGATAAATATGAATATGAAATAACCTTTGGTTATGAAGATATGATCATGAGTTGATTTTCGTAAAATTTTACAAAATGGCGCCTAGATGACGTCATCAGTGAAGGTCAATATTGAAAACGTTATTGTGCTTTGTACATATGCCTATACATATGTATGCCAAATTTCAAGGCATTTGATTGAGCCATTTCCAAGTTATCTTGCCAACAAAAAAGTGGTTAGAAATAAGAAAAATATATAATAAATAAATAAAGGCAATTCTAACGAAATTATAAGGTGGTCTGTACGTTATACAGCCCACCTGATAATCACAAAGTGTGTTTGGGGTTAACCCCCCCTTTAGGTTTTTTAATATGTATGTTTTGTGTATGTTTTTTAAAAAAAAACCCCTTTTGAGTTTGTTTTTTTTTATAAAAAATATTTAAAAAATCAAAAAAAAATCATGCCAATGCCAATGGCTGACCTAAAAAAGGTGACCTTAACCCCCCCCCCCCAACGGAACCAAATGTCAAATTTTCAAATTTCGAGATCAAAAAAAAAAAAACGTCCTCTTACAGCCCCCCCGCGCTTATTCAGCGGCTGGCTGATTCGTTGTGATTTTTTTTTTGGACTCCAAAAAAAAAAAAAAAAAGTGTCCGTTTCCCCCGGCGAACTTAACATTTTCAAATTAGTAAAATGGGTGAATTCTTCCCGTTTGTCATATCGATAACAGATAATACCAGAGCAATCATGGGGATGCAGTGCCCTTTCTAGATTAGAAATCAATGTAAGCACCGATGGACAAAATGGCTTGCCTCGAACCTTGTCATTCAATACTACGGCGGGTACTGCTAACATTGGACAGCTTGAGGATTGTTCTACGTATAACATCAACGCAGCATTTAGAAAAAAAGACGAGTTGGGGATCTCTTCAGAAATATTGTCAGTGAGCACATATTTTTATACGTAAGAATATCTGTTTTCTAATTGTATGTTTAGTGCGTTGAGTTGTACAGTATTAACGCTTGGGTTGTATTCCATTCACAATACCTTATATCTTATATCTTGACATATGAAAGAAAATTTGCCATAAAGACTATATCACAACGCTAAAACTGAAATGTATAGTCATTGAATCAAAGAACACAGGTCTGTCATGCGAGGGAATTTCAGGAGTATAGCCAAAAATGGACTAGATGGCATCCTTACTGGTACGTTTACCAGTCTTCAATTTGTTCTTAAATATTCTTTCAGTTTGCAAATTACAAGTTTAGTTATATTTCACATTTATTTCCTGGACCCGCAGGTGTAGAAGCCTTACAGATGTTACCTTCAACCAGGGTACGTGCTTCAACCACACAAATTGAAGTGAGCTGGGCACTGTCATCAAGTCTATGCTCCCCTGAATACTATATCATACGCTACAGTCTATATCAGAAGCTTGCCTGCTCTTCACCAGAAACCAACCAAACAGAGTTTGAAGTTAATACCACCTCTACACAACATATTAATCTAGCGGGGTTTGAGCCTAACTCGCGATACAATATCTCAGTTACAGCTGTAAATGGTGCCGGGCAGAGTGAACCCACGATCGGCTATTCAGATACCAGCCAGGGACGTGAGTAAATATCCTTTCCCATAACAGTTTCAAGAAATGTACAAGGTGATAAATTTTGTTTACAGTGTTATGATTATGAGTATTGGATATAACATATACAGAAACAAAGTTGCTATGGGTCCAAGCTCGCCACGTGAAATCAATTGCGAGGATCGTACTAAAGATATACTCCCAGTCTTTAAAATATAACCCCTTGGGAAAATAAAACTCCTTTCGGTAGTCCAGTAAAATCTCTGTTAGATTCACTGCATATAACATACGCAGGCATGTCAAGATGTCCCTGTAATAGATGATCCAGTCTACGAACTCAACGTCACATCAGATTTCACAGATGTCTCCAAATACCTTTCAAACTTGGAATATTACGCAACTTATAACATCTCCATCATAGCTGTGATAAGAAAAGCAGAGAGTCTAACAATAAATCTTAGTGGAGACACACGAGATGGAGGTATACATATATATATATATATATATATATATATATATAAACAATCATGCTAATTCTAGCGTTGGCTCGTCACGTAATATCGAATGCGAGGATCGTCATTAAGATATTTCACTCCTTGTCCTGAAAAGATAACCCCTTGGGAAAATATAACTCCTTTATTAGTCCGAAAATGTTACATCATACACCTTACCAGTCAAAATCGGTATATTAGATTCCCTCCATATAACATACGCATTTGTTTACAAATACAATTTTTAAAGAATTTTGCTTTACTTAAATTATGAATGTTACCATTTGGTTGCGATGTATATTCCCTTCACCCTTCACGCTAGCCTTACTACGTAAGCGAATTACACGTCAAGTTTTAACGGATTTAGGTACGTTCTCTTATATTTCTGATTCACTTCAGCACCGTCCAACATTACAAATGTCAGGGTTAATCCAGAAAGGACGTCTCCAACACGATTAGGATTCACCTGGCAACCTCTCAACTGTAGTAATGTGAATGGAGTGTTCTGGTACTACTTTGCTAGAATCTACAAGGATGGTGATAGAAAGAAACTACCGGCTAAGAAGACATACTTGGATAACATTTCAGACTCATCAATAGAGTTCAATGGTCTTGAGGCTTGCACGATGTATGAACTGAATATCAATGCCGTCAACAGTGTTGTGTTGACTCCTGGAAATGTGTCTCATGCTATCGGTGTGACGGGAGTTACTTGTAAGTGTCAAAAAGTACAAAGATAATACTTTTTAGAATCACACTCGAGATGTCAACTTGCCCTGCTTTGTGTATGAATTCCAATTATATGAACCTCGTTCCAAAACTGTGTATTTGAATAATATTTGTGGAAGAGATCCACATACCAAGGTTTCATTGGATATATATGCCCATATACATGTACAAAATCACATTGCAAATTCAAGGATCATGTCTTTGCGACATTAAAGTATTTTCATATAGGTATTAAAATATTTTCCCCGTTACAAAGTGTCGTTTTTACATTTTTAATTTTCCTTGAATCTCAGTCATTTATTGGAGAAACGACTTCATATTTAATTATTTTACCCATTTTCTAGGAATTTTTTATAAATATTTCCAAACATGAAAATGTTAGTACGGGGCGGGGACTCTTAACTGAATATGTAAGCCTCTTTTTATTTAATATTTAGATATGTCCAACTTGGATATGTCATGCATCATAATGTTTATTTATGATTATTATAATTAACTGTAATTCAGGTATGGACCATGTATTTATTTCAGAGCTAACAGTTATCGTAAGAGGAAAAAGGTATAGATACAAAGATGAGAATTAAAAAAAACCTATTTCTGGTATCACGCTTTTGTCCACCGCATTATGATGCCTAAGGCGCCCAAATATAGTTGAAATAGTTTAAATATTTATTGGTTACTGAATCATCATAGGTTATAACAATAATGTGACAATGTCTTTACATGAGTATAAAACATAAGTTAAATTACATTTCCACATTCAGTAAATCATAGATACATACGCTCGAAGAGGTGATGATACAGAAGGGCTACAGCCTAAGCGTGACAGCTTGATACGCTTGCAGCCCAGAAACATTTAAAATCATAACGATTGTAAAGTAAAGTAAATTACAGAACATAATTGGGGGAAAATAACAAAAAATAAACGGTGACTTGCAACCAAAAAAAAATGGGATAGAGGGTGCATGGGAGGGGGATTTTCCTGCTATATCAAGGAAATGCTGACAAACATATATGATATCATGTGTTAATTTAAGAGATTTGTCAATATTTGCTCAATAAAATTGATTTCACACTTTTCTTGAAAGTATATACTGACTTCAAGTTACGGATGTCAACGGACAGTGAGTTCCAAATATCCGGACCAGAATGTCTTATAGATTTCATAGCCATTGTTGTTTTAGGATTACATAAATGGTATTTATTTGATTGTCTGGTTGGGTATGTATGAATATTTCTATTCAAACAAAACATTGGTGGGAAGTGGGAAGGTAGGGAATCATTATGTAGACGGAACATGAACAGTGCTTTTTGTAAAAAGTTAATATCAGTTACTTTCAGAGTTTTTAACCTCGCGAATAGGGGATCAGTGTGATCGCGATATCCAGCATTGGTACACACACGAATCGCTTTCTTTTGTAAAAGTAGCATTTTATCAGTATATACTTTTGAGTCTGCCCACAGTATATTGCAATAAGACATGTAAGGAAGAATCAAGGAATTGTATAGCATATATAGAATATTCAAAGGCACATAATGTTTTAACTTATACAGTAAACCAACAGTGCGTGACACTCTCTTTGAAACGTAATGTACATGATCACTCCATTTCAGATTTTCATTGATGATAGTTCCAAGAAATTTAGTATTTTGTTTTTTCTCCAAATATTCACCATCCAAGACTATTTCAGGTATAGGTTTATCAGTTGCATTTTTCCTGCTTTGAAAATGAATATAATTAGTTTTTTTCAGATTCAGAGACAATTTGTTGCTCCTAAACCACAAAGACAGCTTAGGTAGCTCGGTGTTCAGAATTCTCTGAAGTGATCGAAAATCGGAATTGGAGCAAAACACATTAGTATCATCAGCAAATATAATATATTGTAATGATGTAGTTGAGTTCGAGATATCATTAACATACAGTAGAAACAATAAAGGACCGAGTATCGATCCTTGTGGGACACCACATTTCATAGGCAATAATGATGAATCTACAGATTCGTAGCTTACATATTGCTTTCTACCTGACAAATAATCATTAAACCAGTCAAGAGCAACTCCTCTTACTCCGTAATAATGAAGTTTGCTCGATAGTACCTTGTGATCAAGAGTGTCAAATGCTTTGCTTAAGTCCATGAATACACCAATAACATGCTTTCGAGACGCCAAAGCATTCGAAACCTTATCATATAATTGTGCAAGGGCTAAATCGGTTGAGTGGTATTTCCTGAAACCATATTGATCCTGATTCAGTAAGTCATTTTCTGTTAGAAAACAATATAGCCTATTGTATATAAGTCTTTCCAATACTTTGGACAAACTCGAGAGAATAGAAACAGGGCGATAGTTAGAGACTTGGGAAGAGTCATCCTTTTTGTATATCGAAATATACAACCTAGCTTTTGGCAGGCTTCGTATGCTCACTGCAATCAAGGATTCCTTTTTGTTGGATAGAGGTTATGACATTCATCACCCCCCCCCACAAAAAAAAAAAATCGGTAAAAACATGTTCAATGTTTTCTCAGGTAGAAATATATTTGGCTTCATCTTTAGATACAGAGATAATTAAGCTAGGAAGTTCATGATAATGTAACGAGACGGCGTTGCAAGACTAGCAGGCAGTTCTCTGTGTTATGGCTATTGGTTGGTGTAATATAACCCCTCTAGAATACAAGCCGCCCTCCTTAGAGGTACGACATTTCGCAAGATTAATAATGTACATTTTCCTCTCTTTTAGTGTTGAATAAAGTCACAAGTGCATCCGCTTATGCAACTGAGGATCAACCCAGTCTGACAGTTCAGTGGAGTGTTCCGTCTCAATGCAATGTGGATTACTACAGGGTATCATATCAGCTCATCTCACGTAAGGCATGTCAAGATGTCCCTGTAATAGATGCTCCAGTCTACGAACTCAACGTCACATCAGATTTCACAGATGTCTCCAAATATCTTTCAAACTTGGAATATTATGCCACTTATAACATCTCCATCATAGCTGTGATAATGAGAGAGGAGAGCCTACCTATGAATGTTAACGGAGACACACGAGATGGAGGTATAGACACAAATATGATTATACTAGCTTTGACGTTTCTACCAAGGGGAGGGGGCACAGGAGGCACTAGCTACGGGTGGCTCTTGAAGGGAGCACAAAACAAACAAAAACACGCGACAGAGAGAGGCGCAGGAAAAGAAAACTAAAACCAAAAATAAAAAGGGGATAAAGGAAAGACAAATAGGATTCTAATATGAACCTTACATTTTCAGATTGAATTGCAATGGAAATAAGGCTTTTTTAAAATTCAGGTATTTAAATGCGAAAGTTTTAAAGCTCGGTTGCTTTGCTCATCGCATATATTCCGTCAAGATCCTGAAATCTCTCGTCCCAATATAGGATATAGTTTACGTATTCTTTAAAGCGCTCAAGATTGAACCAAAAAAAAATCAATTGTCGTTGCTACCTTTTTTTAAAATAATCATCATCAACCGCTAAGACAAAAAACAAGTGCAAAACCGTTTTCAGTTATTTGTAACGGTTCATCAATTGAAAGAAATCTCAATCTTTTCCGGATTTTTTGTTTGCACCGAGCATCATCATCCCTAGATACTTCACGGAAAACACAATTTTGTAACGCATGACATGACAAGCAAGTCCACTTAATAATTCACGTGTCGAATCAATCGCTTGTTCTGGTAAATGTCTATCTTCTGTGGTGTTCTGTAGGCCCGGAAAGACAAAGGACCTACTATTCGTGTTGTATTGGTCGCTATAACAGAGACCCTTACCAGGCGCGCCGGAAGCAGTTTGGGATTGGGGGGGGGGGGCAAACATTCCAGGGGCAGTGACGTAATGAGAAAAAATCGGAAGGGGGGGCAGACGAAAAATCTGCATCACCACCAGTCTTACACGTTACATGCAGGTCCCGCGGAACGTTTTTCAAAGTGGAGTATTATCGATCAGGTAGAGCGTAAATTGGCGTGGGGTCCAGGGCATGAGCCTCGGCAGGGGGTCAAGGGGCTGAGCCCCCGGAAGCTCAGGGGCTTTAGGTATTTAATTACGGTTAGATGAGCATCCAGGGGCCCGCCTTAGGGCCCTCGGTGGGGTCCAGGGGGCAGAGCCCCCGGAAGCTTAGCATATTGCTCCGATTGTCTCATTTTCGCTCGCTCGATCACTGCAGCACAAACATAGCTCGTTCGACGTCACTTCCAAACTAGCCAATCAGCTGTCAATGACGTCATATTGAATGCGACGGCAAATATATTTTGTGAAATTATTGAGAAATTGACTATTTGTAATTGCAAACTGGTTTTATTTTTGGATGGAAAAGCAGCCATTGTTATCTTGACATTCATTGAAGTAATCAGAATAGGGTAAGTTACTTCTCAGATGATTCAAGAGGTCCATTTTGTAGATAATTTTTTAATTTCTTAGAATGTTCCACTGTGTTCCAGGGTACCGGGTGTATGCCATTGGGTGTGATGTGTTCGCGCGCCATAAGTACAGGCCACCGCGCCGTCGGGTGTATTCTCGTACTGATGTAGGTGCAAAGCTAGAATGACTACCACGCCCACTTCCCTCTCCATGCCTTTCTGAACATTCCTTTCCTTCTCAATACAATAACTTTCACCTGCCTAAGTTATTCAAACCATACCGCCTCGCCACTTCCATTACGTAATCATTAAAAGGATCCGCATATACAACATTTTCCAGCTATACGTTGTACTGCAGGAAAATACAAATCTACCTGGTATACCTTACAGTCCAAACGATAAATATGTGCCTTTAACGAAGCAGGCGACAATCGGCGCAGACGACACTTGATAGTAATTTTGTATGTGAGATTGCTTTGCTAAATATAAATTACTTTGTTAATAAATATCAACTAACATTTCTTTTACATTTCTTTAAACCATCATTGATCTTTAATAATTCATGAGTGAGTAAAAGAAACATACCAAACTATATAATTATATGAAATACTTGGTGGCAATTAGGGGAGTTTGACGTGATGACCGATTGCACCCCTCTGTTAATAACCGAATAGTCCATGGTGTGTCATGAATATTCATGTTTTTGCTTACCTCGGTTAAATGTTTGCTTTTACTAAATTGAAAAATTACGGTGGGGGGTTGGATGAAATGGACATAATGAAATAGGCAGAAGTGATCTATGATAATTCATGCTTTTTATGTTTCATGTGCTCGACCTATAATCTTCAAATCGCTTGGCAAACTGAGTCCAAAGTTAGACTTGTTTCACATGTGTATTATAGGCAATGACGAGCTTGCAACCTATTTTGAAAAATTACGGTGGGTGAACTTTCAAAAGTCAATGAGACATGAGGGCTCCAATGAAAGAGCTAGTGATAACGTACGTCGGGGTGGATGTGCTTTTCGTTTAAAAAAAATATGAATTTTTAACGATTTTTAAAAAAAAACGTCCATAGGCTAACATGTTAGGCTGTTGACTCTGACCATGCTCTGACGATAGGGGGCGTTGTGAAATGAGACTAAACGGAGCAATATGGGTTTTTAGGTATTTAATTACGGTCAGATGAGTATCCAGGGGCCCGCCTAAGGGCCCTTGGTGGGGTTCCAGGGGGCAGAGCTTCCGGAAGCTCAGGGGTTTTAGGTATTTAATTACAGTCAGATGAGCATCCAGGGGCCCGCCCTAGGGCCCTTGGTGGGGTCCAGGGGGCAGAGCCCCCGGAAGCTCAGGGGTTTTAGGTATTTAATTACGGTCAGATGAGCATCCAGGGGCCCTGAGCTTCCGGGGGCTCTGCCCCCTGGAAGCTCAGGGGTTTTAGGTATTTAATTACGGTCAGATGAGCATCCAGGGGCCCGCCCTAGGGCCCTTGGTGGGGTCCAGGGGGCGGAGCCCCGTAAGCTCTGGGGTTTTAAGCATTTAATTACGGTCATGAACATTTTTTATACCTTATTTGTGACATTGGCAGGTCACTTATTTTTTTCTCCGTCTTTCTTTCTTTTTCTCTTTAACATACTTTTTCAAAAAGGAGGGGGGGGGGGGGCTCGAGCCCAGCCACTTTGCAGGACATGACATAAAGGCTTCTAAATAAGCGTACTTCGACTGTTATTTGGGACTTTCTTATTTTCCAACGAACGCATAAAAAGTTATGACTGGAGAAAAAACATTTGTAAATCACTTGTTTCGACTAAGAAATACATCACTCCCCTCCCACGCCCCCCCCTCTCAGTACACCAGCGTTCAGGGGCTCATGTCTTCTCACCCCTATAACAAAAAAAAACGGACACGCTTTCCCATTCTCGCACAATATGTCCACGATATGCGCGTATCGCTATCATAGAGACCTCCATTGATAAATACCGTATAGGTGGCATGCGCAATGTTTATGAAATTTAATTCCTGTGAACTTTCCTTTTTCTTTGAATGGAATTGTATATGTGATTTAATTCAGGTTTTTTATTATTGTTACGTTCTTTTGGATATACAAACCATGTTTAGTTCTTTACTGTTTTTTTTTTTTTTTGGAGGGGGGGGGGGCGTTTTTTTTTTTTTTGCGTTTTGCGTTTTGCGTTTTGCCCGCCCCCCCCCCCCACTTTTTTGACTGGGGGGGGGGGGGAAACTGCCCCCCACTTCCGGCGCCTATGACCCTCACGATGAGATTATAAGTTATCTCTCTCTCTCTAAGTGCCATATCGTTTGACTTTGGCGATCATGCTTTTCCACAACCCTCGGCTCCTAGCCTTCTGTATTAGTACCACTCTCAGTTCTTTCACTCCTCTCTCTACTAACAATTTTTGCAGACTGTCCATCCAAAGTATCCTCTTTCTTCCCCTTCTCCTTCTCCCCACAATTTTCCCTGTCAAAGCAAGATTCTCTAGGCCTTCTTTACGAGTAATGTGACCCTTGAACTTCAACTGCCTAATCAACATCTCATGTATCATTTTCCTTTGCACTCCAGCTCGTGTAAGAAATTCCTCATTAATAACTTTGTCAGTCCAGGGGATTTTCATCATTCTTCTTAAAAAACACATTTCGCAACTTTCCAAACGCTTTTTAGTATCAGAGGCTAAAGTCCATGTTTCACTACCATACATAAGTACTGGGTAGATGTAACAATAAAATACTCTTATTCTGGTCATCATACTCAACGTTCGATTTGTCAGAATGTTGACTTACTTTACAAATGCAGATTTAGCGAGAGCTGTCCTGCTCTTGGTCTCTGTCTCACACCTGGCATCCTCGGTGATCATGCTGCCGAGGTAGTTAAATGAGGAGACTTGTTTAATAATCTGTTCTTTCAGTTTCAAGTTACATTTAGGACTGCTCTTTTTGGTTATAAGAGAAATATTGTCACTTTACGTAGTGATTTACTTTATTTCTTGTGTAAGTAAGTACACCCAAAATTTACCCAAGATTTACCCCTTATATCTTGTTACATCTGCTATATTGTTAATTGACTATTCAACACTGTGATTTTCTTCACAGACCCCTCTGCTATCGAGTCAGTGTCGTACACCTCTACTGCCCACTCCTTGCGCTTTGTGTGGGTGGAACCCTCTTGTGAAAGCCTACACGGTGTTTTTGATCGCTACGAATACGATCTCTATGATCCTACTAATGGGGGTAGATATGTCCAGAAGAAACTATGTACTAATACCTGGTCTTGATGCTTGCACAGAATATCGCTTCAGAATAAGATTAGTTACTACCCCACTGAGAAGGACTGCATGGCATATGGAAATGGCAATGACTTATATATCAGGTTTGCCAAATAAGATATAAGTCTATCGTACATTTGTATTAGTTATAGAGATATGAATTATGCAATTTGTCCATTGTACACATCGAACTATTAGCGATTCAATAGTAATTCTTTATAATGGATAGTATGGGGAACTGCCAGGCCTGGGAACTGCATGTTTCGAATTCCAATTCAAATCGGTTTTAATACAGTCCATCCAGTGACGTTGCTCCAAGATAGGTAGATAGCTTTTAGTTTTACTGCTAGCCTAGTAAAGGCTCATGAACAATACAAATATAACATACATCACAGAAAACTGAATTAATTGAAGTCAATACAAATAAAGATAGATATTAGATTAAGTGTAATTAGGAGCGCCCCTGTACAATGTGGTTCAATTTTAGTGTTTCTGTGTTTCTGAGTGGTCTAGGCAACGTGTGTTACAAATATAAAGATCACTGCGCACGCACGCCGAGTAGCCGAGAAACCTGTTTCACATCGAGCAAAGCTAGATTTCTATCCAATCGAAACCGAGCTGACCAGATTAAACGTATAAAAAAAGCAGAAATAAGAAGTTGCAACCACCTAGAGACTCCTATTAAATTGCGATACTGGTTAACTAATTATATAATTACAAATTTTTATTTTGAGTTTTCTTTATGGAAAAGTGAAGATATGGCATATTTATTTTATACTGAATGAACGCCATTAAACTATTACCAACAACATCAACATCAACATTGTAGTCACAGTGCAATTAATTATTGGGAACCTAAATTAGCCTAAATGAAATGTTTATTCTTTCCTTTCTATACACTCATCAGCTCCTGGGATGCCAGATATTACAGAGCTTACCCCGCATCAGGAAGACAGTGGCACTACTGGCTTGATAGTATCATGGCAACCTCCTTCCTCACCTCCATGCCAGCCTACGCATTATGAAATCAAGTACTATGTGCTTCAAGGCGATATGTGTGAGGATAACTCGATGGATCGTATAATGACTTCAGCGGGGACCGTCAATGGTTCAACTTTCACCTTCAATATCCTTGAGTTGCGTCCCAACTCTGAGTACAGGGTGTTCGTGAGAGGCAGAACCAGTAGCGGTTATGGCGATTCGGATTCCAGAGCAGCTACTACAGGATATTCATGTTAGTATTGTGTGTGGGTGTGTTTGTGTGTGTTGTGTGGATGGGTGAGGGTGTGTGCTTATGATGTGAGTATGAGGGTGTGTGTGGGTGCGCGCGTGTCCCTCTGAATCAGCTGTAGGAAAAAGACAGAGAGCTGACAGTACGGCTAGACGAATTTACAGCTCACGATCTACTTTATACGACGCTAGACTTAATTTGACTTGACTTAATTGACTTATGCCGGCCACGCAGGCCAGGGGCCTCGTGATGGCTTCTGTATGGTGATGGTATGCCAAGTTTTTCTATCCGCAGCCAGTCTTGATGCATCTGTCAGCCTTGGTATAGATCTTGCTTTGCAGTCCTCTGAGATGCAGTCAAGCCATCTTTGGGTGGACGGCCTCTGGGTCGATTTCCAGTGACCTTTCCTTCCACTGCAATTTTGGGGTATCTTGTAGGTTTCATTCTTAGGGCGTGGCCGAAGTATTTGAGTCTTTTAGTGGAGACTTTGTCCATAACATCTTGATCGAGGTTGAGGGATTCTTTGATGTGTGTGTTACGGATCTTATCTAGTCTTGTCACCCCCATTATGCGACGAAGGCATGCCATTTCAAATACTTGAAGTCTGTTGCTATCTTCTTTTTTAACTGTCCAGGATTCTGCCCTACAAAGTAGTATAGAGAGAATGAGTGATTGGTACAGTTGCATCTTCGTGTGACTACTAATGCTTTTTGATGTCCATATGTTATTTAGCCTTTGGAAAGCTGCCCCTGCTTTCCTAATACGATTCTTAATGTCACTTGTACTTGAGCCGTTTTCTGCTATTTTCCCTCCCAGGTACACAAAATCTTCCACCTGTTTTAGTCTGTCGTTGGCTATGTCAATGTTGAGGTTGCACTTGCTTTTGCTAATAGCTTGCACTTCTGTCTTTGCTATGTTCACCTTGAGACCAAGGTCACAGCTTGCCTTGTAGACTTTATCAACCAGTGTCTGCAGTTCCTCTGGAGTCTCGGCTATCAAGACGATGTCGTCTGCAAAACGTAAATTGTTTATGCAGGTTCCTTGAATTTTGGCTCCTATTTGGACTTCATCCATTGCCATGGTCATAACTAGTTCGAGGAGTATATTGAAAAGTTGTGGGGAGATGGCACACCCCTGCCTGACTCCTACGGTTGTCTTGAACCACTCTGTCAGCTCTCCATTTACTCTGACCGTACTCTGGGATTGTTCATACAGTGCTTGTAACAGTCGTATCAGCTTGCTTGGATATCCAAAACATCCCATCGCCTTCCACAGGCCCTTCTGCAATACCGAATCAAAATCCTTCTGAAAGTCGATATAGCAGCAGTACAGGCTTCTGTTCTTTTCCAGGTATTTCTCAGCTATTTGGTCCGTCGTAGCCCTGCCTGGTCTGAATCCTGCCTGGGATTCATAGAGGATTTCTTCTGTTCTTTTGAGAATTCTTCTTTGTAGGATTGTTGTCAGCACTTTTCCTGCATGGGACAGTAGGCAGATACCTCTGTAGTTCCCACAGTCTAGCTTATCTTTCTTCTTATAGATCGGGGTTATTATTGCTCTTCCCCATTCCTCCGGGAATTTCTCAGACTCCCATATTTAGGACTTAATTTAGTTCTTTCTTAGACACATCTTTTTAATTAACTGTAAATCTAAGCATATCAGGAGCTCTTGTAGCGCAGTAAATTACATGCATTATTATTATCATTATTATTATTTATCTGACTAGTTTGAATACAAGGGGAAACATAATCCTAACTGGTAGTTGAACGAATATAATTTGAATAAGACCTTGCAAAATATCATTGGAAAATATGTTGTATGAAATAAACTGGCCTGGAAATTTAGTTTAGAAAAGGTATACTACAGGGGGTTAGAGAATGTTTATGAAGACAAAATGTAGATTAGCTGATAGTAAGAAATTGTAGATGAAGTACAAATTAAAGAATAAGACAATGAATAAGAATGAGGTTCATCCTTTGTTTTACAGATCCTACTGGTCCTCCAACTAATATCCAGTCGACTTCCACTAGGGTACGCAAAATTGTCTTCACTTGGGAGAAACCAGAATGTGGTTATCGGAATGGACCAATCTCTAGCTACGAAGTTATGCTCTCCAATTCCACGGGTAACCTAAAAAGGAAAGAGGGAATGAATATCTGGTCGAGTGCTAAATGAGACGGAATCCCAGAGATTGCTTGTTTATAAGTATAGATTTAAAAAAAAACTATCTGCCCTTGACATCATCCCAGATGGTGCTTCTTCAATTTATTAAATCCATATTATATTGTACTCATTTCGTTGAGGGATAATTTCATCTACAAAATTTCAAGGTAAAACCTTGACCACGTAGCTGAATTGCTTGCTGTTGCTGAATGCAAATATGTTCTAGTGTCATATTTCTTTGCAAAAACTGACCTGCTTTTTTTCTTCCTCTGGTAGATGACATTGATAGATTCGACGAATAATTTTGCCGCTTATAACACTGAATATATAAATATTTTTGTTTATTATAAGCGCCGATCAATTTATTTGTTTGCAATTATTTTTGGAAATTAGCAGATAGGTCATATTGCGGAATAATATTTTGCCATGGTAAGGCATTAAATAATATAGGATTTTCTGAATGCAGAATATCAATCAATGATGAATTCTAGTCAGTCCTGAGGTATTGCTGTAAATTGCCGTATTTGGGAGTGATGTGTGGATAAAAATAGTAGGAAAAATATTGACTAAAGTTCAAAAATTGAGCAAAGAATCACTACCGGCAAAGGCAAATAAGATGCATCACGATGATGATTCTTCTACTTTGGTCCATCAATCATACATGTAGACAAATCTGTGCAACATTTTCAAATTAATGGTTTCCATTGTTCTATTCCAGGGCCTCATTTCGAAATTTCCTTAAACAAACAATTAGTCTAACTTTGTTTCCGATATACTAGCTTAATAATCCCAAGTAAAATTTACGCATGATGTCTTGTAAAGATGTTGTATTCTAATGGATAAGTCTCTGGACTGTAGACCACAGGGTACGGCTCGGCTCGGCTTGGCGGATCGGCTATAAGCAGGGTAATAATGTCTAAAGGCCATGAGCGTCAAAAGAGCACTTTATGAGAAGCCATTATTATTAATTTTATTATTCCTGTTGTTCATTTCCAGGAAACGTGGTTTATCATGGTAATGTGTCGGGATCTGAGCACGAGATATTTGGCCTCATCCCCTATTCAAATTACAACATTAGGATCAGGGCTTGGAATTATGAACTAGCAGGGGAATATGGTCCAGCGATTTGGGCACAGACAGATGAAGCAAGTAGGTCACAAAATGCATGTCTTTTAGTTCTATTTTGATAACGATGAAGAAGACAAAACAGCGTTAAAGACGAAAATTATATCTTTTCAAATGTAGCTGTTCGTTAACAATGTTAACCGTGTATCTATAGAACCAGAAATATAACTCTGATAACAATTATGTTGTACTCAAAGTTGTGAAATTTAGACTTGATCATCTACAGGAACTAATATTATGAGAAGATGTACTGGTACAATTCCTTAATTTGTTTTGTTGTTACATTATTCATTCTTTTTTCATCCACTCCTTAAACGAAAATAAAAAGAGCATAGAGAAGTTTCCCTTTTTTATAAATGGATCCCTAATTAAGTATTCATTACCAGTCATAAAATAAGACGTAATGGAGTTATCGTGAATTCTAGATTTCTTGCACCCAAGACCCTTATTGACAGCTGTCCATAGTGGGTTATTGATTCTGAGTGTGCGTGTTGCCAAGTGCGAGTACAATAAGATAGTATTATTACTTCAAAATATTTTGCTTCTTTCGAAAACACAGTCAATGTAAAAATCATCTAAATTGTTAACATTGCTTGTTGAAATCTATCTTCCGCCACCATTGCCAGTCAATAGGTTCACTATGAGGATTTTTCTCTATTGATACTAACCGACAGAAAACGAAACATGATATTATTTTATACTACTTCCAATGTGTGATATACCATTCAGTTATTTCGACCATAATTATCCTACGACTTGTCTCCATCATGTGTACATTACAGAGCCAGCGCCACCAATCGGAGTAAATCTGCCATCTTCCGACAAGGAAAGTATCACAGTAGAATGGATGTCACCGAACCCTCCTCTAGGCAGGATAATAGGTTACTACATTCTCTACTGGGAGACGGATGATAATAGTTCCACGCCCAGAAACGTCAGCATCTCGTGTCGGGACGGGCGTTGCTCTGACATTAACTACAGGTTGTCCACAATTATTCTCCATCTCCAGCCGGAAATGAATTATTCCGTTCAGGCAAGTGTGATTCCTGAAGGCGTTTTCTAAAGGGATTCTGTATATTGAAAATGGGATATAAAAATACTTTTTCATAAATATTGTGATAACGGACCTATGGTTTAAATTAGTATCCATCCGTAAAAAGAGTTTCTGTCGACAATGTCTGCAGAGATGGCATCTTCAATCTTGCGTCTAGCTAAGATAACTAAAAGATGTAAGGTTTCACGATATGTTTGTTGTAAGACAGCTCATTATAGAGCTTAAGGGATGACATTCAATGGATGATGTGGGACCAAACCAGGAGAAGCAATCTGTAAGTTTCCTGATTTTTCTAATGAAATATATATATATATATATATGAGTATGGTGCAGAATTTCTTTTACACCTTCTTTGTATCTAAATATTCTTTCTGATGAAATGCTTTTATAATAAACAATTCATGCTAAATGGAAACAGTGTCAGGAGGTCCATAACGTTTCCGTCCATCCATTCAAGGTCAATCTCTAAATTGTCCTTAAATTGTTCTACTCTGCATTAGTACTTTTCCGCTCTTCATCTCCCTTTTATATCACAATGTTTTTCTTTCAACTATACAGGTCATGGCGGAGACCATTCATGGTGTTGGTGACTCAAGCCCGGTCCCACCCGTTGTCAGGATTACATCAGAAGGAAGTACGATATTTATCTTCTCATTTCTATAATGTTCC